AGGGAGCTTGTTTGAGTGTGTTCTATTTCTGGGTGTTTACCCAGAATGTCCTGTTCTGAGCTTGTCTTTTCTGAGAAGACTGAAGACAAGTGCTTCTCAAGATAATTGATCAAATTCTCTCTCATGTAAGAAGTCTGTTCTGAAGTCAGCAGATGTCCAGACATTTTGAGGTGAGGGGAAGGTACAAAAAAAAAAAAGGTTGTTAAATTACCTAGTCTTAGGATTTTTTGTTGAAATGCTGAAGAATTTATACACATGTGCGTGCATGTTATGTGCATAAGAGAATGAATAATCACTAGTAGGGTGTTCAATTAATTAGACACAGAGGGCACTAGAGGAGGCTCTAATGTCGTGGTGGCCTAAGTATGCAAACCAAAACCTAAGCCTGTAAATGCGTCACGGTTAAGAAGTGGAAACCTAAGGACAGCCAATCACAAATAACCAACTAGGTTTTGAGAGACAACCAAACAGTAATCTCCTGGCTTTGCTTCTGCCTTTTCCCTGTAAGTCTCTCCCCAACTCCTGTCAATGGTGCACTGCTAAACGCTTCCGGTTTGGTGCCGCTCGACTGGAATCCATTTTTGTTGAAATAAACTTCAAACATTTTAATATACCTCAGTTTATCTTTTAACAAGAGGCTTGCCTCTGCCAAGAGTGGTTAGCAGTTTCCTCCAAGCTCTATTTATCCTCCGCTAATGTTCGCTTATACCTGCTGGAAATGTACTAGGGACTCTACTGTGACACCTAAGACGGACATTCCAGCATACTTTAGAAAAATCAGTCCCTTTTAATTTTTTCCGTTTCTCTCAAATAACCTCATTTAGGCAAAGTTAATACAGAGGATTGTGGGAGGGCGGTTTGCAAGGTGTGAAGGGTAAATATTAATTCTCTTGCGGAGCGCTCTTTCTGTCGTTAATACTTCCCAAATGCTGAAGAATTCTAATTGCTATAGGCTCTTATGGGGCCCTGCAGCCACCACTCTGTAGACCCCTGGGTGGTGAAGGCCCCGGTGGCGGCTGATGTGAATCTGCTCTGCTCTCAGCTCAGCGTCTGCACGCTACCTTTCTGAACAAAGGCCAGTGCCATCTTGTTTACTACTTCTGTCTTCTCTGAGCGGTGAAGTAGAGTGTTAAAGATTCCACTTAGTAACTTCCTGTAGTTTTCCTGTGTATAGAATAAGCAGTATGAATTATACTGGAGAAGTAGTGAGTGGTAGTCGGATTCAGGGACTTGCTCTTTGATGTTTCCTGCTGCAGTGAAGAGAGCATGGTCTTTCCCTGGGACACCAGTCCTAGCGGTCACCCTGATTTATGGTTTTAAAAATATGCCGTCTTTGAATCACATTCATTACGGCATACTCTTGGAGGTAGTTTTTCACTAATGATGATGAATTCCTGCTGATCCTAGCACTCTTCTGAGTCCTTTTGTGTGCCCAAGATCTTTCATTTGCAAGACGAATGGCTCATTCAGGGACAGTCTGCACAGAAATGAGAGAAGTCAACTGGACCATAGAAATACTGTGCGAGTATTTTTTAAACCTAAGCTGAGTTACATGGTTTTTGTTTCTTGGGATTGAGGGGTTTTTTTTAACTTGTTAATATGTGGGGGGAAAGTATAAAACTTAATAAGAAAAGAAGTATAAAAGTTCTCATATTTAGTTTTGCTTTTAATTAATTATGCTACTGAAAAGAATACAATTACAGGAAATTGAGAATGGCCCAGAAAATTCAAGATAAGTCTCTGAATTCTGACTTCTTTCTGAACCTCCGGTGTGTATTCCGGCTCCCTCTGGATGACCTTCAGGCATCTCAGATTCAGCCCGTCCAGAAGTAAACCCCTTATCTTCTTTCTCAGACCTCCACCTGTGCTCTCGGTCTCTGATGTGCTTCTCAAGTTTGAGTCATCCTGGTCTCTCTTCTCTCCAGCCTCACAGCAAGTCAGCCACCGTGTCCCATCGACTCCTTGCTCCTCCCTCCATTCCAGTGCTCTGTCTTAATTCAAACCTTCATCATCTCTCCCAAACAAATCCTACTCGGATATGCCTCCTCTAGCCTACAGTATAAAGTCACAGTCTGGCTCGGCATACACGGTCCTTCCCGACTTATTCCCACCCAGCTTTAGCCCTCTCCCCACCAGCTACTTTCACACAAAGTCCTTTCACAATTCCATGGCCACCTCTGAACCGGATGTCCCTGCCTTCTCTACTGGGCAAGCATTGATTCATCATTTAAGACTTAGCAAATGTTGTTTTCTTTGGGGGTGTTCCCTGACTCCATCTACGGAGTTAGCTATCGTGTCCCCATAGCTGTCATCCATACCTCTCTTGCATAGGATAATTATCTGCTTGTCTTTCTTGCTCCCCAGAGACCATGGTCTCATCAAGGGCATGGACTTTGTCTTAATCATATATTTCTAGCAATCAGTCAAATGCCTGGTGACTAGGAGGGTCTCAGATGTTTTCTCAATGGATGGATGAATGAATGAATGGAAATTAAACCCTGGAATATGGTAATAACATGTTCTAAATAACTGAGGCATTGGGGCTTCCCTGGTGGCGCAGTGGTTGAGAGTCCGCCTGCCGATGCAGGGCACACGGGTTCGTGCCCCGGTCCGGGAAGATCCCACATGCCGC